TAAATGTACCTGTAGTTTTTCCTTGTTTTAGCCCAGGGGTCGTCTCTGGCAAACTTCTTGCCTTTTTCAAAAGCCTCGTCGATAGGTAAAAGCCCCGGTGCCTTTGCAGCTGGTTTGGATTCGCCGCTAGTTTAGCAGCGCAGGCGTCTTCGTATGCTTTTAACACACCATCGTAGCGATGGCGATGTTTCAGGTGACTAATCAGGTTGGAAGTATTATAGCTCGTTGCCTTTTTCCCTCCAAGTGGAACTTCTGCATTGCATTCGTTAATACAAATAGAAAGCGAACTATCTAACTCTGAAACTTTGAAATAGTCCCATACTACCCACGACATGTTTGTTTACTGTCCTGGCTTCACGGCCGCACACCATTTACGTCACAGCCAGGCATGAGTTAGGGAGCGCTGGATTTGTGAAAAACTCCCCTCTTCCTAAAACACTAATACCACAGTACTGGCAAAACGGGAGGAGCCGAGTGAAAAACAAGCGCCCCTCATCCCAATCCACCCACACCGCAGTATTTTTTTCTTTTTTTTAACCCAAAAAATATTATTTTATATTATCGGAGCTATTAATACTTTTATCGGGTTTATCGGGATGACGTCATAATTCCTAATATCGGACCAATAATTATCGGGCCGATAATTATCGTGCACCACTAGCTATTTAACTACTTTCTATTTTTGGACAACTGTCTTCGAGTCCTGTCACCCAGGCGGGCCGCTAAACTAGCAGTCTAGGGCCCGTTCGTTTAGACGATGGCCGGAGCAACAACATGGGGACAAAAAAATTTTTCTAAGCCCATGCCTCCTTTTCCTCCTCCTCCGCAAAAATCAACAGACTGCCCGACGCACCAAGTGTACTTGTACTTGTGGGAAATTAAATGTACACCCTTGGGGGAAGTTCCCCCGAGGGCTAAGCTTTTTTCAGCCTCGGCTTGAAGCAAGAAAGAGCCGGTGGTCCGCCCGCCCCCCTGAAATGACTGTAACTAGGCCTGTAAACTGGACGATATTTAAAGTGTTCACGCTGGACAATTGTTTTTTCAAACCTAATCCGGGACTAATATTATTACGGGTTATGAAAATTATTCGTCTGTAAAAAGTGACAATAACTGGCGTCTGTGTCCTAC